GCCGTTTCGTCACTGTCCGTGTTGATACCGTACAAGATAAAACCATACACGATGCTTGATCTACCAGCTTGCAGGCGTCTGTGTGAAAACTTCGAATCTTTATCGGACGTTGGTGAGTATTCACAACCAGCGTCCAATGCAATGTTTAAAATGTATGTTTAGTTAGCTAAGAAAATAATAAATAGCCGGCTGGTAGATCTATACAGTCGGTTGAAGTAACGTACAAAACAACATCGTACTTAAAATACTTTTCTGCTTACAATTCAACTGTGACTTTTTCCCAGGACATAGAACAGGAAAATCTGATCAGGTAGGGTCAAAGGGACATAACCCAATCAAAGTATCCGATCATATCTTGTATGAAGCGGCAAAAAAAAAAGAAAAAAGTTTTATAATAATACGCTTCTTCTTCTTCATTCTTAACTGTATGTTTGAAGGGATTTCCTCCAACAAAAATGCGTGTCACATTGTTATGCGCCATTCCCGTTGACTCCGATTTCAGCCTGCTTTTTTTTACTTTCTCGTATATACGTAGTATAGAGAAAGTATTGTAATCGTGCAAAAAAAAAAATCGAGATTTTTACAAATCTCGACGTTTTACACCTCACTGATACGGAAAAACATAATTTTGCAATCTTGTCCGTATGTCTGTGTGTGTGTGTCTGTGTGTCTGTGTGTCTGTGTGTGTGTCCGTGTGTAAACACGATAACTTGAGTACCGTTACAGCTAGGTTGATGAAATTTCATATGTAAGTATTATATCAAAATCGTAGATCCGTATCAACTTTTGAGCGATTTCCGACAACCGGAAGTGGTACTTTTTCTACTTTGAATTTTTCAAAAGCCTATAACTTGAGTACTATTTCAGATAGATAAATGAAATTTCACATGTAAGTAAAAGATCTAATTCTCTACCTTCTGTTAAATTTTGAGTAATTTCCGTTGACCGGAAGTAGTAATTTACGCTACTTCCGATTTCTCAAAAAACTAATGTAAATTTTAAAAGTACTAATAATATTGCGCACTATTATGCGCTTTTTTATTTCGCGTTCACTTGGTGTGCAATTAATTTGTCTACGAGATTTTATTCTATTTTTAAAACTTTAAGTATTTAAAATGGATTAAAAATCATGTCTATAGCCCGAGTTCCCATCACCTGTTATTTTATATAAAAATATTCGAGAAAGTTTAGGGGAGATCACTCCCGGTTTATTTATTCTCGATTTGCTTTCATAGCCTTTTTACTTTCTCGTATATACGAAGTATAGAGAAAGTCTTGTAATCGTGCACAAAAATCACATTAAATTTGGACAGTTTTCACCGTTTTACTCCTCAGTCCTTCATCACATCCGGGATATAGAAGACTTATTTTAATCGGGCAAAAATCATAAACTCAGATATATAAAAATTTTGGCGTTTTATGCGTAATGGAAAAACTGGATTATCCAATTCTGTCCGTGTGTGTGTCCGTGTGTAAACACGATAACTTGAGTACCGTTACAGCTAGGTTGATGAAATTTCATATATAAGTATTTTATCAAAATCCTAGATCCGTATCAACATTTAAGCGATTTCCGATAACCGGAAGTGGTACTTTTTCTACTTTGAATTTTTCAAAAGCCTATAAATTGAGTTCTATTTCAGATAGATAAATGAAATTTGATATGTAAGTAGAAGATCTAAATCTCTACCTTCTGTCAAATTTTGAGTAATTTCCGTTTATCGGAAGTACTTATTTACGCTACTTCCGATTTCTTAAAAACGCATGTAAATTTATAAAGTACTAATAATATTGCGCACTATTATGCACATCTTTATTTAGCGTTCACTTGGTGTGCATTTCTTTTTTCTACGAGATTATATTCTATTTTTAAAAATTTGAGTATTTAAAATGGATTAAAAATCATGTCTAGAAGTCTATATCCCGAGTTGCCATCCCCCGTAGTGTTATATTAGAATATTCGAGAAAGTTTAGGGGAGATCACTCCCGGTTTATTTCCACTAAGAACATACTACAAGGCAGCAGTAGTTTGATTTTGGAGTTGTCTCTCCTAGATGGGTTGCTGTCCCCAGCCATTATTAAAGGGTTGTTTTTTTTTAAAAAAAAAAAAAAGGTTTATTTTATTTTCTACTTTAACTTGAACTTTTAAAAATTAAAAAATAGGAGTCGATATTCATAAGTTATAAAAGCAATTACAATTCTAATGAATCTACTATAATTTTAAATATATTTTCCTGTTAAAGAAGTTAACAACATACTCAAATAAAAAAAAAAGTGATTAAATGTTTTATAAAGCGCTGATGTAGAGTCGGTCGAACGATGAACTATTTTATTGATGGCTTCTACGAACAATTACATCTTGTAGATGGAACAAATTTTCTCGATTAATGCCAATACGCTTCCAGAAAACAAAACATGTCTTTCTGTATGATAGCAGACCGGGAAAGACGATGAAGGTGGGGGGGGGGGTCACAAATTATGGCACATTGTCACCAGGGGATTATATCTTTATGGTTTGATTGACATACGTGGCCGTGTTAGACGGCGTTGTTTAGGGGAGTCGCCTTGTTCTAGAGAAATTCTGGCAAACTTGCTAAGCTGTACAAATGTAGTACACACGTAGCTATGTTGTACAAATGTAGATATGTTGCACAAATATAGCTATGTTGTACAAAGGTAGCTGTGTTGTACAAATGTAGCTATGTTTTTCATATGTTGCTATGTTGTACAAATGTAGCTATGTTTTTCATATGTAGCTATGTTTTTCATATGTAGCTATGTTGTACATATGTAGCAATGTTGTACAAATATAGCTATGTTTTACAAAAGTAGCTATAAGGTACAAATGTAGCTGTGTTGTACAAATGTAGCTATGATGTACAAATGTAGCTACAAATGTAGCTATGTTGTACAAATATAGCTATGTTGTACAAAAGTAGCTATAATGTACAAATGTAGCTGTGTTGTACAAAAGTAGCTATAATGTACAAATGTAACTATCTCTTTCTCTCTCTCGCTCTCTCTCTCTCTCTCTCTCTCTCTCTCTCTCTCCCTTTCTGTCTCTCTCCTCTCTCTCTCCTCTCTCTCCCTCTCTCTCTCCTCTCTCTCTCCTCTCTCTCTCCTCTCTCTCTCCTCTTTCTCTACCCCTCTCTCTCTTCCTCTCTCTCTCCCCCTCTCTCTCTCAATCCCCCTCTCTCTTTCTCTCTCCCTCTCTCTCTCCCTCTCTCTCTCTCTCACTCACTCTCTCTCTCTCTCACTCCTCTCTCAGCTCGATAACTTGATTCGTATACAGCCATTGGAACCTCCCACCTATAATTACCCTGCTCTCGAAATTACTCAAACGTGACTGCTACATTTCTGCAGCCAGTGCTACCGTCTGCCTCTGACGAACCAAGTGCGATTCGCGTTCAGAACGCGCGGAAATTGTTTAATCAATGCTGCGACTTTATGATTCCTACGGCGCAGTCTCGCCCAGATGCGCGCGCATAAGAGGAAGCTATGCTATGTCATTAAATATACAGTACAACGTAGAATCAGTTCTTCAAACCGCTTTTATTGTCATTCGGTTAATCGGTAAAATAAAATGTAGTATTATTCTAGAAGCATTACTTCGTTTATTTGGTGGAATATTTTTTAATTGTAATGCATTGTTTATACACTCATAGTCATAGTTTGTCAAAGTTGTCGAAACATATTTTTATTTCTTTGAAGTAAAAATAGAAATACATGCTAGGATGAGCGAATCAATAATTTACGTCTACTGTAAAGTTCCCTTTTTTTAACCTGACGGTCTGTGGGGCAAGTGAAGCAGAGTTCACCTGTTTCTGTGACATAGGCATACGATAGGATAGTGTGGTCAGCATTATGCCCAGCCGCTTTTACTTTACCTAACTTGAGTTTGGTACCCATCAGAGCTGGGTGGACTCAGGGATTTTCTACTGATATTTAACCCGGATTCAAACTCGAGTCTTTCGGGGTAGCAATCTAGTGACTTCACTGTTGTACTACAAGAATACGATCTTTGTACAGCAATATTTCGCACCGATATTCGAGAAATGGAAATGGACAATTTCAGTCCAGTACAGTAATTATTTGACCATCCCATTCTGCTTATTTATTTAAGCAGGTTATCATAAATTGATACACATCAAATCTACCTTACTCGTAGCATGAACCTAAACACATCTTTGTTATTACACGTAATTTTATTTAAAAATCAATTTCACGAACAGATCCCTGCCTCCTTACCCCCCACCCCACCTCCCCACCCCCTTGACTGCAGGCTAAAGGATCAATGGTTTTTCTTAAGCTTCTGTCGAGACACGCCGCCGTTAAGACGTGTATTTACAAAATATCATGAAATAATTTTCGCGGGGGAAAGTTCTAGAAAATAATTGCTTGTGGAGTGATGAATCACGATAGCAAGAAGAAGAACGTAGCGTGTGTGTGTTTTTAGTGTCGTTCTACCAACAGCACGCTGTGTAGTGTTTTTGATGCTGTGTTACCATCGGCAGGTTGTGTAGTTGTTCGATTGAAGATGGCTGCTGTTTTCTTAAGATCTGGATATGTTCAGATTATCGAAATTGTGAAATAGTTTGTGGAAAAAAAAAACTTCTAGTTTTTTGCGACAATTTGTTTGATTGAAGTTTCATTAATGTGTTCGGTAATATATACAGGCATATTTAGTGAAAGATTATTTTATCAGGATGAATTATACAATGATATAACAACATAATAGCTTCATACATTTTTAGATCATTTTGGATCGATAAACCAGGACATTTTCTACACTAATATAACAACACGATTGTTTGATAAAAATGTAGATCACTTTGGATGGATAAACGCGAGTTCCTTGTTAAAATTTATTTTGTGTTCTTTGAAATCATTAGTACTTAGCTAATTTAGTACTTCGGAATATTTGCAAGCTTATCGGCAATTGGTTATCCATTTTTGAATCGACCAATGAAAGATCTGAACTGCTGTCAGGCAGGGTAGCCATGCCCGTATACGGACTTCCGGGTGCTCTGGAGTCCAGCCTGAACTCGCTGGTCGGCATTCGCTGCCCAACGTCATGGAGGGTCAGCGCTCACGGAAGTGACGTCACGGTGGTCATCCGCTGGACGCAGTGCTCGAGTCCCTTATCCGACAAGACCCTCAACTACGATATTGACCACGATCCCAAAGAACGGCTACTCGACCACGAGTTCTCGACCCTAGCAGGAAAACCTCCCCTAGCTGGAGTTGCATCCCCTCATGTTGAAACCCTAGACAGATTAACCAGCCCTTTAAACAGAGCCTACAAGACCAGCGCCAATGTTGAGTCAGATTTTCAGCCGTACAGAATGAGATATATAGAAAGCCTGTCGAAAAAAGCTAGAAGATCTCCGGTACCCATGTATATAACTTCAAACACCGGGTCAAAGAACCTCCACCAAAGCACCGCGACAAACGCGGACGTGCAAGACGTACACAGGGACTCGAAACTCAGCCCACAGCCGGACCGTTCAGCCCACAGCTCCCGTGGCAGCTGGAGTTCTCGCAGCTGTAATAGGGTGTCGGCGTTTAAAGCCTACAGCCGTAAACAACACGCTCAGAAAAGGGAATTCCCTGAAGCTGAAAATAGACTGCGTGACGTAACAAGTCAGACAGCCAATGAAAACGATCAACAAATGAAAGAGGTGTTGACGTTACTAGATGAAAAAAGTGGGCTTTTGAGCATAACTGTGGTGGATAATTCGAATCCAGGCATCGATTCACAGGCCATAAATGGACATTATCATATCGAACCTGTAGAATCGTGCTCAAGTTCAGTATCGAATCTATCACCTCCTATACTTCGACCAAAATCCGTAGACAACAGAAGCGATACTGTACCCAACCCAAGTGGCAGTGAAGTAGTCGATTACCGAACCAGTCCCAGGCGGTTATTGTGCGCTTTGTCGCCCAATGTACTCGATACTTTGCCGGTTTTGATCAACGGCAAAGCGACCTTGAACTCTTCACCTCTGACACGTAGCAAGGCGACCCCTAACGTTTCACCTACCACCAAACGGAAGGCAACGTCCAGCCCACCTCCCACCAACGGCAAGACCTCCTCCAAACCTTCACCTCTGACCTGCGTTAAGGCGACCTCCAACCCCTCATCGATGACCTATGACAAAACGACCACCAACCCCTCACCTTTGACATATGGTAAGACGACCCCTAACCCCTCACCTTCAACTAACGGCAAGGCGACCACCAACTCGTTGACCTACAGCAAAACGACCCCTAACCCTTCACCTTTGACACACGGTAAGACGACCCCTAACCCCTCACCTCGCACAAACGGAAAAGCGACCACCTCACCTTTGACCTATGACAGGGTGACCTCCAACCCCTCACCCCTCAGCATCGACGTGGCGATGGAGGAGGACGGTCAGCTGTTTGACCTGGACATGGTCTGCTCCACGGACAGCGACAGGAGCAGCCGCTGCTCCAGCTCTGACCAGACCTCGCTGTCCTGCTGGGACAGCATGGAGCACCTGGAGGACAGCCTGGACACGGCCACGCCCCCAGAGGTCAAGAGGTCACATGACTCAACCATGGTTGATCTTTAGTTGGTGGTGGTTACGTTTCTTGTTTGAATTTTTTTTCAAGCCAAAAATGTGTTTTTCAAAATTGACATTCAAATCCTGATATGTGATATTGTGCACATTTACTGTTCACATTGAATACAATTTGTCATACATTACGAAGAAAATAGTTTTAACATTTTTAATGCACTGTATAATGACAATAAAAAAACTATATAGCGGTATCAATTTACACACTGTACAAGAAAGCAATAGATATGAACACAGTATTTAAGTTAAATTTAACCTACAACCGCAATTGGACAAGTTTACATGCACTTTGATTAAAAGCAAAAAAAAAGCTTGTTTTTATTAACTTCTTTTTAGTAATTGGGTTTATTGCAAAAACATTTTTTTTTATCTGTTGTATGTACAATGAAAAATTCCAAATTTATAATAATTATTGTATTATATTAACGAACTACTATTTAGATATTTATAATTAGAAGCAATTTTAATAAAAGCAATAATTTTAATATATATATATATATATATATATATATATATATATATATATATATATATAATTTAATGTTTAAAGTACATATAATTACCTGGAAATTCGATTACTAGGCTGAAAATTCAAACATCAAGTTAATTGTGATTTTACAATAATTTTATGCAATGAAATTATTACACATTAAATGTAATGGAGACAGAGGTTGAGGCTGATATCATTATCATTTCAAGCTTTATGTCTGAAGCCAATAACATAAGTACTCTTACAATTTCTTCTTTCCTCCCGTCTTTTCACACACACCCGCGTACTCTCCTCCCCCCTTTGATTCCTGCCTATATATGCAGTTGTTTTTAAAGCTTTCCTCACTTTTGTTCTGCTTACAAATAAGAAGGTAATTGATTAAGGTGTCAGGTCATTTTTGGGGAGGTGGACCGGCTTTTTATGACGAAGCGTGACGATGTGTGACGATGAGTGACAAAGTGTGACGAGAGGAGGTAAAAATCGATTTGAAAAAACTGTGACATCGTTTATGGATGACCTCCAACATCCGCACCATAACCAATGTAACATTTCCTTACAGCGCCACATGTGGTTAAACTTAAAAATACAACAAAACACGGTTCAAGCTGTTTCTTGACTTCTTAAATCATTTTATTATAAATAAATATCCATATGAGTATTATGTAAATGCAGCATATAAAAAAATATAAATAAATATGTGGTTTTAATACTTCAGTAATTTCTGATATGTTCTGCAATAAACATTGTTTTACCTGATTTATACACACGTTAACTCTCAAAGACAGCTTAAAATGTAATTCAACTTTTATATATCTATATATATAGTCTATATATATATATAATTATATATATATATATATATATAGTCTATATATATATATATATATATATATATATATTTATATAGGTATATATAGGTATATGTATGTATGTATATATATATATATATATATATATATATATATATATATATATATATATATATATATATATATATATATAAACAATATTATATGTATTGCAATTGTCAAGATGCCTTGTCATAAATCTATTATCTTAACTGTGAGAATCCTCTGTGAAGCAATAATAATGATAACAATTAGCTCATAAAAGCTTATACGTACGTAATAAATTAATGCAAGGAAATTATTGTACACCAATGAATAGAGCAGTCAAAATAGTTAGGCTGCTTTATTACATAATTTATGACTGTGACAATGTCACTGTAAGTAGTAGTAGGTAAAGTCACCTGTCATACCTGATGGTCGATGGGGCAAGAGAAGTAGAGTTCACCTGTTTCTGTGACTTCAGCATATGAAGGGACAGTGTGTCTCTTCGTGATACTACATTATAATTTTTTAAATAAACATTTATTTAGGCAACATTAAGATTTAAAAAACTAAATCATTTTTTTATATAAATTAAATCTAAAAGTAGAATTGTGCTTAGTAAAATGTACACATCCAAAATAACACTATTCATCATTTTAACCCTATAGCCAGTATTTTTACTTACATCTGAACAAAAAACTGAAATCTAAAAATTCAAGTTTAGTCTTAGCTGAAAATATTTTTTGAGTTATAAACAGCAGCTGACTCAGAACCTCGACCATAAATATATGTCTACAATGGATGAAAATGTCATATGAAGTTTAAATAATAAATTTACCTCACTACAGCTCCCCATCGAAAGACATATTTTTTTAAATGAGCGCTATAGAGCAGGGGTCGGCAACCTGCGGCTTGCGAGCCGCATGCGGCTCTTTTGATGTCAAGATGCGGCTCTTCAGCTCCATGCACAAATATTAATAATTTTTTATATTTTATTTTTAAAACTAATAAAAGTCATATTTTTTTTGTTACAAAACTCGGTGTTGAACGTATAATGATAAATATAAACAATAAACACTCGCTATTATATTAGAATGTTTAGTTACTCCCTATTTTCAATGTACTTGTTCATCCCAAATTGAAACATTTAACTTCATGGTGGATATCACAAAGAAACTCAACGTGCTAAATGTAAAACTGCAAGGAAAAGGAAAACCAAGCATATGCCTCGCTTGAAGAAGTAGATTGTTAAAATAAAATAAAAAACTTTTTTTTTTGTTTGAAGACACGAAAGCGATAAATTATTTAATTTTGAAAAATATCAAAAAAATATCAAAAAAAAAATGCTACTATTAAAGAAGTGAATTACTTCAGCATTACAATTAACACAATGAAGGTTGGATTCACTTAAAGATTTGAGCAATTCAAAACAAATGCAAGTACTCTGACGTTCGTAGTAGAATCTCTCATCACAAAAACAAATGAGGTTAATTAACTTTGAGCTATTTGGAATTGATGCTGGCTCGCTTCAAATGCAATTGCTGGATTTGAAAACCAAACATCATTTGGAGTGGTAGGTTCACAGATCTTAAGAGCAAGTTAGGAGAGTTTGAGGTCCAGTAAAACATGCACGTTTTGCTGCACAAGTAGAGAGCGCTAAAAGAAATGCCACAAGTTGGGACACTATTATGTGACGCATGGAATATATATATATATATATATATATATATATATATATATATATATATATATATATATATATATATATGTGTGTGTGTGTGTGTGTATGTATAGAATCTACATATGTAAAATCCTAATCAAATATAATATTGAAATAAAAATGTTAGTGGCTCTTTAAAACTGGGAAATTTGTAAATTGTAACTTTTGGCTCTTCCGTCTCAAAAGGTTGCCGACCCCTGCTATAGAGTAATCAGATCTCTTAGTGGTGTAATACGTGAGATAAAATGATCGGTAGATTAGTTGCATTTTATGACATTGTTAAATAATTACGGGTTTTCATTCATCATCAGTTCACTTTTTACTTTCTCGTATATACGTAGTATAGAGAAAGTATTGTAATCGTGCAAAAAAAAAAAATCGAGATTTTTACAAATCTCGACGTTTTACACCTCACTGATACGGAAAAACATAATTTTGCAATCTTGTCCGTATGTCTGTGTGTGTGTGTGTGTCTGTCTGTCTGTCTGTCCGTGTGTAAACACGATAACTTGAGTACCGTTACAGCTAGGTTGATGAAATTTCATATATAAGTATTTTATCAAAATCGTAGATCCGTATCAACTTTTGAGCGATTTCCGATAACCGGAAGTGGTACTTTTCCTACTTTGAATTTTTCAAAAGCCTATAACTTGAGTACTATTTCAGATAGATAAATGAAATTTCACATGTAAGTAAAAGATCTAATTCTCTACCTTCTGTTAAATTTTGAGTAATTTCCGTTGACTGGAAGTAGTAATTTACGCTACTTCCGATTTCTCAAAAAACTAATGTAAATTTTTAAAGTACTAATAATATTGCGCACTATTATACGCGTTTTTATTCGGCGTTTGCTTGGTGCGCAATGTTTTTTTTATGAGATTCTATTCTATTTTTAAAAGTTTAAGTATTTAAAATGGATTAAAAATCATAACTATATCCCCAGTTACCATCCCCTGTTGTTTTATATAAGAATATTCGAGAAAGTTTAGGGGAGATCACTACCGGTTTATTTGTCTGGCTAATACGAAACAAAACTGAATTTACTGATTAAAATAAATAATATTAAATGTATCAATAATTAAAGTGTGAGTCTAAGACATAAATTGATCCATTAAAGTATAATAGCCTTCTAGAACACATTAAAACAACAGTTTCTTAAAATATCACATGTGCCATTTAGATATTAACAATCAAATTAAGTTACCCCCCTTGGTGAGGGGAGCAAATCCTATTTATAACCATCTCTGAATAAACTCTGTTTATGTCCCCTTCCACATGGTATCTCATTGTGTGATCCACTGGCATGGCTATGGTGTGACTCAGTCTGTTTTTCACTGAGATCTTTGTATCTTGAACCTTGGGGACAAATATTTTATTGTAAAAAGAATTATAAAAGTTTTATCATTCCTTCTATCCATATTTCTATTCTTTAAACCCCATTCATTTTACTATTATTTATGAGTCAACCACTATTAAGGAGAGGTGATTTAATCTATTAATATTCAGATACGTTTTTTTTAAAAATCTATTGTGCTTAATTAAACTCAATAATTATTTTTTATAATTCATAATTTCTAGGCTTAGTTGATTAGTTTTTTTTTTTTATATAGCTTAGCTATTCTAATTAAACAAATCATTAAATTTAAGCATGCTAAGTTTAACCAAAGAACTCTTTAAGAGGCAAAGGTTCATATGTGACCACTTTTATACAGGGATAGTGTTGTCAGAACTAGGCACTGGCCCTGCTGATTTTATTTTTACCCTGAATGGTCAGGTACTTATTAGGTAGGCCTATTTTGCATGTTGATATTGCTTGTGTAATTTATACTTTTTAAATATATTGGTAAAGCTTAACATTAAGTAGTTGCTATTGTTTCCCAATTTGAATTATATAAATTTTGGACTTAAAATGCTGAAAAAAAGAAGATACCTTGTGAAAATGGCAAGTACATTTGCCTTGCATGAAGTCCTTGTACCTGGCCATTGTCATGCTAAATGTGTCCACTATGGAGAAACCTTGCCTGATTGCATAAGACAGAAGCTCCTGGTTCTTTCTGGCCAGTTTTTGGTAGTCACCCTGGCAAGATAAACACACATTACATTTTTGTAGCTTTAAAACATGGACAGAACATCAAAGCTATAGATAAAAGCTAGCAGGCTAGTTGTTTTTTTATCCCTTTATGTTTCAGGTATTTTCTAAATAGTATAAAACTTGTAATGTTTGGGTTTGTTGATTACTTGATTGACTGATTATGACTAACAGATTACTTATAACTACAGCATGTTATGAGATAGTGGTTATATTATGCTATGCTTTAAGAGCCATTATGAAGTGTGATAAGACTCATAATTCACATCAAGGGACACTACTTTAACAACTACTTGGGTAAATGACAGAGCTCTCTCCCTAACATGTTTTTAAGACACTTTAGTGTGACTATAGTGTAGTTACATTCAGTATGGGGTCCTTTAGGGTAGAGAACCAGTATGTTTTGTGAGACAGAGAACTGACAAGACTAAGTGCTATGATTTAGATTTTAGTTAAGTTTAAAGTTAGGGTAATAACTAAAGCTAAGTTTATTAATTCATCAAACATTTGAATAGTCAATTCTGTGTCGTTGATTTAATAAGAAAACACCATAAATAATTAACAAGACTGAATCTTATAAATATTTCACTAAAGTTTTAGATCAAATATAAAAAAACTCACTGCAGTTAACTGGTGGAGGCCCCTTACAGGCTGATAAAACCCAGCTCCGAATCCTTTAACAATAACTTTAGCATTACCCAGGCCCTGCCTGAAGTATAAGAAAGCCAAAAGTTAAAGTTTGTCAAATAAAAAGTTTGTCTGGTCTATAACACAATAGCCATGTATTGGCCAGATCAATATTAGTCCAAGCATGTTGAACCAAGTTTTTCAAAAATAAAAAAAATAAAAATTTTAAATTGCCCTATGTTGTGTTTAACTCCCTATGTCTACAACAGCTTTTTCTTCATATCATTAAAAATGTCATTGCATTATTGCAACAATGATCATTGTCAGTAAAAACACTTTTTGCAAAAATTGAGAAGATCTCTTGATTAACAATACCAGAGTTGGACAAAATTATCTTTAGCTGACCTCTTTAAGTAGGAAATGAGAGTATCAATGTGATTGGTTGTAAGCCACTGCACTCCTCCCAAAACAAAAACTGGATCAAGATTATTTGAGGTTCTAATGTTCAGGGAAAAAATTTAAAAAAAAAACAATGTTATTGTAATAATGTATTTCATCTGTTATATTTTTAAAAAATAGATTCCACATTTTAATTTTTTATATGTTCTGTGATGATTTATTTTATTAATGACCTCTATACTTAATAAATTTAATAATTGTTAAATAATTGAATTTGATTGGTTTATTCATCTTTTTTTTCAGAACTGTTACTTTTATTTATGAATTTTTTAAAAATCTACATACTAGTGGTAATTCCCATCCTAGTTTTTTTTTATTTTTTTAAAGAGCTCACCTTTTAAGAAGTTGAGAAAGTGCTTTATCAAACAAGGGCCTTTGGTCTAGTGGTAGCCAAAACTGTGGGAAGTATGCAAATCCAAAGTCTGTCTGACCCAGGTTGAGGCTGTCGTAGACTTTGATGTTGTGTGTGATGTCCCACTGGGTCAGTGACCCGTTGACCCTTTCAATGGCGTAATGGAAGATCCCTCGGTTGGTTGAGTCACCAATATATAAAACCTAAAATGTTGTATTCACAATGGAAAGTTAGCATTTTATATAGCTTGTTTACTGGTATATTGTTGAGTCACCAATATATAAAACCTAAAATGTTGTATTCACAATGGAAAGTTAGCATTTTATATAGCTTGTTTACTGGTATATTGTTGAGTCACCAATATATAAAACCTAAAATGTTGTATTCACAATGGAAAGTTAGCATTTTATATAGCTTGTTTACTGGTATATTGTTGAGTCACCAATATATAAAACCTAAAATGTTGTATTCACAATAGAAAGTTAACATTTTATATAGCTTGTTTACTGACATATTAAGTAACATCAAGGTATAATAAACTTAAATGTACCTTGTGAGATATGTTAAGGAGGGAATATATGATAAACAGTAAAGCTACTATATAAATTTATTAATGTTAGATTAAAGAAACTTTAACAGTTCAACCATGCAACCTCACAGCTACATAAATAAAATGTTAGCATCAGCGGAAATAATTTTATTGCATGTGAAAGTTAATTAAAAACTAAAGAAAAATGTTAAGTGGGGCTTGTCATTCAATCGTCTGTTCTACAATAATTCTAAGAGTGGCTTTCTGATCTGTACAAGATGGATGTGTTCAGGGCAAGCTGTGTTGTAAGTACTTCATGCACTCTACTTATTAATTTAAGTGTTATTTTACAGTAACGAAACACCTGTATTAGTCCATCACAACGATCCCTACCCTTTTTCCAGAGAAACATTTCTGTATCTCCCTTGTTGACAGACTTCTCTCCCTGCAGCCTGCCTGGTGCCAGATAGCTTTGCTCCAGTTACAGGAGTGACTGTCATTACAGTTTTTACATGGCACCATCCATTGACCTAACGATGGACAAAAACAAGTTGGTCAAACAATTTTGACATTCTCCCATTACAGTTTTTACATGGGACCATCCATTGACCTAACAATGGTAGAAAACAAGTTGGTCAAACAATTTAGACATTCTCCTATTACAGTTTTTACATGGCACCATCCATTGACCTACCAATGGTCAAAAACAAGTTGGTCAAACAAGTTAGACATTCTCCCATTACAGCTGTCAGTAAACTAGCGCCAGTGTCAAGGAATCACCAATTATAATTTTTAAAGGAATACAAAAATTGTACTTAAGTTTTTACACTTTCTGATGTGTATGGTTTTAAAGTAATATTTTCATAAAGTAATAAGTTTCTTGACAAATGATTTTCTCTTGATCTATGCTAATAGCTTTAAATTTTTTACCTAGGCCTATTTGTGATATTTTAGGCAACTAATTTTAATTTAAAATTGTTAAATTAAAATATAGGTTATATATATATTAACAGTTCAATATATCAATCTTTAATGATTTTAAAATTTAACATGCCAAAACTGATTCTAAAAAAAAATGATGTGTTTACTATATTTAAGTTAACAAATTATTCTAATAGATAGGCCTACATAGAATTAGAAATAATGCTTATACTGTTTTTACAAAACAACGTTTGTAAATTAGTTAAATCTAATTTTACCAGAAAAATGTTGGCCTCCACAAACTGGCAACGTTGAGTGATACTTTATGAAGTGATTCCAGCTACCAAAAGCTGAAGTTTGTAGCCCACACGACTCAGTGATTGATACAGGCAGTGAACAGTCCTGCCATAAAAACACTATAACAATTTACATCATTTAATTTATCTTATTGCAATCAATTTGATACTTTAAGTTAAAACAAAAAATTTATAATAATATTTAGCAAATGTTGCAAAAATGTTAGCCAAATACATTATTTATAATTAAAATAAATTAAAAGCAATTTATTTATTGATATTAACAATATGTTTATGTAGGCTAAAAAAAAAGAATTATAAGACTTGAACAACAATTTTGCTATAATCTTATTACCTGTTGAATCTGACAAACTGGAAAAACTGAAGTACCGGAATCAATGCCGTCAACATTGTGGTCAATACTGTATCTGTGTATTTTTATTTTGTATGTGTTTACTTCATCCAAGTACATGTTATCTTTAACAATAACTCTCAGATCTATGTTGTTCTCTCCAACTCCAATACTAAAGTTATAGGAACTGTGAAAACAGTATATAATATTAAAAAAAAATTTAATCAATCTGTGTTTTTTTATTTTAAATTTTTGAGGAAAAATCTCTTATTACAACAATAGTATAATGCACAATGGAATCATTTTGCAGAAAATAATTAAATAGTGTTTAAAGTTGCACAAGAGAAAGACCACTCAGAACATGGAGGAGAGAGATGGAGGAGGAAGTGCAGGCTACTGGCAAGAGCTGGCATAAATTGAAGTGGCTCGCCCAGGACATAGTGGAAGGGCAGAGATTTGTTACTGCCATATACTTCACAAGGAGTGACAAGTATTAAGTAAAGTAAGTAAAGTTGTAAATTATTTTTGTACCAACCTATCACCATCATGTAAATCAGTGAGTCTGACAACAGCCTGACAGTGCTTAGGAATGGCTTCAATTTGGACCAGGGTAAAATCATAATCAACAAAGGCCAAGTACTCTCTTGTCAGGGGAGAGAACTCAGGGTACAGTTGAATAAATGGGTGGGTGTTGATGGCAAGTAGTTGGGTTGAAACAGCAGTATCTGAAATAATTATTTCAATTATTTCACTTATTCATTATCATGTATTGTTTTACCTGTAAATGAATGTCAAGAAAGCTCTTAAGATAAATGTTTATAAGGCCTACAATCAATATTAAATATTTAGTAAAGAGAGATAACTTTCTAAACATGATTTTGTTTAAGTTTAATCACAGTTGCTTACCATTTTGACAGGCTTGAACACTTAAATGTGGACCTATATAAGAAAACAAGTGTTGACTTTAGAAAAAAACATATTTAACAATGTGGCTGTGATTAGGTTACATGTTTAATATTGCATGCTACAACAGTCTAATAGTTTTTTAGAGATGTCAAAAACAAAATTAAATTAAGCCTTATCACTTTCATAACACTAATGATATAGTTTACATTATTTACAAAGCATTTTTTGAAAAGAGTCCCTGCACTAATTAACTATCTAACAAGTTCAAACTGAACTTGCTTCCTCTGAGTATACATTTTAGCATGAAAAAATCGCATATTTAAAAAACTTAAAAGATATAATACCTTGATGAAGTCTTGATCTTGCTGAAATAATACTGTATTGCCTGTGAAAGTAAATAAACATTTTTAGTTTGTATACATTTGTTCAGGGCAGTCTGTGATTTGTGTTCTTTATGTACTCCACGTATTATTATTAAGTATTATTTTACATTCATTATTTCAAGTAAAAAAAAAACAATTATTTAACTTAGAATAGACTAAATATATTTGTAGTAATAATTAAAGTTTATTCATATTTTAAAATTTGCTTTCATGTTTTTTTTTTACTTTTTTTTGGTTTAACATTCTAATTTAGATATCATTCAAACATATATATCACTTACGACATATCAAAGTTTTTAATATCTGTGATCAACTCTTTAAAATATTTATCAAAAATATCTGTTGGGCATAAAAAATATTTCTCCATGCTTAAAGCCACTAATTCCAGCCTTGCAAAATGTGAAGACAGGAAGTTTACATCTTGAAGTAAACTTTTTGAGGAAAAAATCTCACATGGAATGGATGAAGGATATAACTGAAATAAAAAATGTAATATCTTTCAAAGAACTTGTTTATTTGAAGTAGAGTAAAAAAGTAAAGTTCCCTTTATGAAAAAGATAGTCCATGTGCAAGTGAAGTAAAGTTCACCTATTAATTTAAACTACATTATCATTTTTTGTGAATTCATCTGATCATTTAATTTTTGGAATAAACAAAAAATGTTTGTTATAATTATAGACTGACAACTGTTTAGGGAACACATGCAAGAGTTAAAACATCTCTTACTCTTTTCCAATTTTTAGAACTCTTCTGTTCTCTTCTTGTATCCAGAAGAAAAATTAAATCTTTCTCTTTCAAGCACATAGAACCATCCAAATTACAAACTTGACCCTTGAAAAATAAACTGCATTAGTTCAGCAAGATCAAAACTTCATTTTCCTTATATCGTAATCTTTCACATTGGCAGGATGGGAACGTAAATCTGTTGGTTATAAAAATAATTCAGAAAATAGGTTTTTAATCGCGGTTTACCTTGTTATTGTCATATTGTGTAACTCCTAAAGTAAAGAGTATTGTAAAAACATCATCAGCAGTTGATACCCTTGACATCACCATAGCGGTTATGTCCTCCAGTATATTTAGCTCTAGCAGGTAATCACTCAGTGAGCTCAAGTGATCCAAATACTGACTAGGTTTTATCTGAGAACATTATAATTTTTACTTATTTAATTATTATATTAATCACAAACTGTAAGCAACAGGCATATGTGTAATATTATTATTTGTATGATTTCTTGTTAAAGAATTTACATTCTTCATTGGAAATTTATAACACAATATTCCAATTTCTTTTTTATTAATTAAAATAAATTATAAAATATGCACTAATATATTCTTCAAATTGTAATTTGTGTTCTTTCTCTAAGCTTCATTCCAAACAGAACTATTTCCCTATCTTATTAATTAACTAGATTTTTAAGATTTAGTAATTTAAATCAACTTACCTCAAAAATAAAAGGGTGAAAGGATGAATTGAAAATAAAAACAACCTCGATCATCTGAAAACATCTCTCACATGTACTGAAACAGAAAGAAAATATAACAAGTTATAAATATTAAATTGCTCACTGGTAGATTAAAAAAGTATAATTAGTACTATGGAAAATTTAGAGTAGCATTGACAAGCAACTAAAAATTGTAAGTACTAACATAGAAAGTTTAGAGTACTAGTGGTAAGCAGCTAATAAATACAAGTACAAACATGAAACATTAAAAGTACCAATGCTATGCAGCTAAAAACAAAAGTACTTACATGGAAAGTTTAGAATATTTTCCAGCCACTCTGATTGCTCTTAAAATAGCCTGCTCCACTTTTTTAAGAGTTTGGGTGGCTGCCTTTTCATTGGCTAGTTCTGAGATCAGCTGATGTAGTTCTAGCAGACAAACATTCTTCTGGTTCTGTTACAGATTGAAACATTTTATGATTACTGAAGTAAGTTTAATCTGTGTCTATTATTCAATGCATTAAGCTGATTTTTTTTTAAGCTGTTCAAAATTTAGCAGTAAATTTATACATAGTCAATATAAATAATTAAAGAGTAAAATAGAATTAATATCAAATTCCTGAACTGATTTGTTATCATTAGTTCACTAAAAAATAGTTCAACATATCTTACCATGATATTTCATATTTTCAAGATAGCTTGAATTATTTCCTGGATATATTTTAATTATTAAACCAGTGCTGGTCAGGTGGGGGTAGGGGTGAGAATGGGGGTTTACTGACCACTTAAGTTTTTATCTAGATTACTTACATCAATTCCAAATTTAAAAATTGAAGAAAGTTAAAAAACAAGTTAATAAAAAGTCTAGTGACAATTTAAGCGCAATTTCCTTAATTAATTTTTTGTGACCGTACGAAAGGATATTTTTGAAAACTTTCTTCGGCAATATTGTTCTAAATTATGACAGGAATCGATTGGTAAATGTTTCAAGTCCCTAAGTGGTCTGGTTGCCGAGATATGGGCCAAAAACTGCATTTTTTTCAGAGGTTTTTTGGCTATTCCGGGAAATCCAGGAAGGAATTCCGGGAATTTTTTTGACCCACAATCATCCTCGGAACTTGCTTAACATATTTGCTTTTGGAACTAGTCCTCGATATTGCTTCGTTGAGGAGATACGACTTAAAGCTGTGGACACACATCCATCCATCCATCCATCCAGAAATAACGAATTAATAATCACAATTGTCAGTATGGAAATTGCGCTAAAAAACATTCAGATAATTTTTTCTTAACTAAAGAATTTAAATGGGATTGAATTTGAAGTTGTTTTCTATCAAAAGTGTTGTAAAAAAAACTAACTTTACGGCTTGAAGATCCTTCTAGTCCACTCCATGCCAGTCCACCCGGATGAATGTAAACTCTAGGTGGGGAGAGTGAGGTCACAAGAACAACAACCTCCCATAGCAGTGGTGACCCAGGGGACAAGCTCAGTAGATCTTGTGGTAAGAGGATCGCCACATCGGAGCTTGCCCTAAATTGGGAAGTTTAAATGTTGATAGAAATTTGAACAGAATGAATTGTCATGAACTGAAGCAGCTAATAAAGATCACAGCAGAATTTATAAGAAAATGGTCTATTGTTAAGCATGTTTTATTTTTTATGGTACTATTAACTAAATGCTAAATTTAAATTTTTACTAAAAATTTCAGTTTGTTTTTTACATGATTATATAAAAAATGGCTATGAGAAAAACATAAATGGCATGACAAATATAGGAAAGTAAATAGAAATGGTCCCCTTTATAGCTGTCAAAAAACCTAACATTCGGGAGATTTTTTTCTGTCCATATATTTTAATTTGATCAATGATAATATCTGGAGGTCAAGAGTTAATTTGCTTTGAGTGCCGCTTGGTTTACTGTGCATATCATTGTTTATTTTTTTTAGTTATTTTTTTTTAAACTATTGGGGAATAATATGCTGAAATTATAGCATTATAATCAATGACCACAAGCAACACTTACGAGGTATTTAAAAATACAGCTGGGAAATCTTCACATGAAACAAAGTGATTAGTAGCATGATTGTCACTAGCCAGCCACAGACCACTGGTGTTTTGACATGACAGCACCTGGCGTCTGACATCACTGACAAGTTTCCTGACATCTGACGTGCATGGAAGGTCACCATCCAGCCAGGCATCTGTAACACACAGCTTCATGCATGAAGTACTCACCAACACATCATAAACACGTTAGTTTTTTTTTTTTTATCTTTGTTCAAATTTTCCTTTTTTGATGTTGGATATTAACTTCTAATTGAAATAACAGAATAAAAACGTAATAGATAATATTTAATTTAATTTTTAAAAATGCAATAAGTTCCTCAAATGTGTAGGCTTAATAGGTGAATGATTTAGTTATTTACTCAAACGTATTTAGGCTACTCTGTCTATGGAAGGTATTTTGTAAAATATTGAATAATTTATTTACCTGATTTTTTGTGAGTGTTTTTCAAACTTGTATTCACACAAAGAAGATTAGGTGACAAAAGAACATCAGTGAGTTCGGGTATAATATTTACCTGGGGAACATGAAGCAATATTTGTTTAAACTGAATGCTAATATTGATGTTTGTGCCAGGTGTTGAAATGAATAAGGGAACTAACTCAGGTTATCTTGTTTATTGTACATTACCAGAGTAGTGCCCCATCGTGACGTATTTGTCATTTTCATTTGTAAAGCGCTTTAAGATGTGAGTTTAGTTTACTGCGCTAAGACACACACATTTAAGATGTTTATAAACAAACCTTCTTTGAGTGATCTACAGTCACGACACAATTATCTGCTCTGTTTGTTGTATTCAAACACATTAGAATACTCCAGTTGTTTCCCTGTACAGACGGTTCTTGCGATGACGAACTTTCTGGTTATCGTAAAAACAAAAACATAATTTTCAAATAATGAAACAAACAAAAAAGTCATATGTGACAAATAGTACAATATACAAAATAAACTTTTATAAACCAAGTAAGATAGTTTTGTAGAAGGTTGTTTTTTTTTTATTTCCTAAATATCGAATTTCTAAACTTCTAATTGTTAAACGTGCCTGAAAGTATTTCAGTGTTGCCATTACACAAATCTTTGTAGTTAGACAGCTACTCACTGCCAATCTAATCCCCATGAATAGCCAGGAGAATTCAGCAGTGTGATCTCTAGACGAACGTTTAAACAATGTCGTCATCATGGTCACCTTTTAATAGTGTCACCACCAAACTCATCACAGTGTCACAACAGGGTCACCACCGGACTCACTATTTACCAGTGTCACCACCAGACTCATCACAGGGTCACCACCACTTTACATAAACAAGTGTCACAACCAGACTCACCACCAGACTCACCATTAACTAGTGTCACCATTGCTCTGTGTTTTTGAAACGCCGACTGTATCAAGTTAAAATGGTGACCGGCGGCTAGCAAAGAGCCCTTGACCAGTACCTGGACATCTCTACCTAAAGGCCCAACCAGCTGAGAGTCGATCTGGAAAGATAATTAATCAAGTCAAGTAAGTCTTCGATATTCGTTTTGGAGTTTCTTTCAGTTGGATTGTGGGTGCGTAATGCCCCCGTAGCACCCCCCCCCCCACACACACACACACAAATACATACATATACACCTACTCCCGGACCTCACCCCCCTCCATCGGGAGTTTCAAATGCCTCCACCCACGCCCTCGTAGAAAAATGTCTGACCGATGATGAGCCATTGTAGCAGTAAATGTTTATCTTTAAAACAAGTTAATAAAAAGTCTAGTGACAATTTAAGCGCAATTTCCTTATGTTATCCATAACAATTTTAAATCGAGATAAATCATATATTCAGCAACGGAAATAGTTTTATTTTAACGAGTAGGCCTACACGATGCTCAGTTTAAAAAAGTAGTAAATATTTATTAATTAATTTTTTGTGACCGAACGAAAGTATATTTTTGAAAACTTTCTTCGGCAATATTGTTCTAAATTATGGCAGGAATCGATTGGTAAATGTTTCAAGTCGCTAAGTGGTCTGGTTGCCGAGATATGGGAAAAAACTGCATGTTTTCGAGGTTTTTTCCGGGAAATCCAGGAAGGAATTCCGGGAATTTTTTTGGCCCACAATCATCCTCGGAACTTGCTTAACATATTTGCTTTTGGAACTAGTCCTCGATATTGCTTCGTTGAGGAGGAGATACGACTTAAAGCTGCGGACACACATCGGACACACATCCTTGACGAGTTAATAATCGCAATTGTCCCTATGGAAATAGCGCTAAAAAACTATACTATTTGGTCACAATTCAGTAACTCTCCTTTCAGTCATATTCAGTCAGCAAATATATGAGCCACGCACCCGCAAGCAAATATTTGACCCTACCCCCAACGCCAAAAAATATTTGACCCCCTCCAGTAAATATATGACCCATCTACATTCCAGCAAATATATGACCCCTTCCACCATCAGAAACATAACCCCATTCCTTTACATATAATGTAAAACTGAAACGTTTTATATAGAACTAACCATAGCAGATTCCTAACACCCCAAGTCTTCATTTCCAAGGCATTACAAAAAGCCATTTTTCAATTTGCCCCTCCACCCCACCCCAAACCCACATTCTTTAAACTATTTAGAAATTGTACGTTTTTCCACGTTTTTCTTTTCACGAAATACACATTAGATCTAGATCAATATGCCACGACTTATTTCTTGAACCCCATCTACCACCTAGTAGCCTACACCTTTAGAAAAATTTTAATTCCCATCACCAGGTGTGTGACTTTAGTTATGGACTACCTGAAAATAAGATCAAAATTAAGTGGGCCGTTTTAGATATAAAAATACACATTACAAAGCCAAATTGGTACAGTTGTCAAAGATTCATAACCGTTGGGTCATTTTAAAAACTAAATCTGTGGATTGCATAAAAAAATATATTTCCATCGCGTTTAAAAATAGAAAACAAATTAAGCATGCAGATTTTTAAATCACGCTGGCATCTGGGCCCATCATTCCATCCATCCATCTTAAATCTAATAAAAATATTTTTACCCTGCAGATAAGTTGGGGGGATTTTTTTTAAAAAACCTTCCCACCATCAGCGGAAATGATAGGCCAACTAGCGCTGTCATGCAATCTCACTACGCGTCTGCTCGCTGAATTATCTTCCCTTGGCTGTCCTACATTAAATTCATTTAATACGCATGCGCACTCCGTCACTCGGAGCCAACAAATGTTTTCCTTGTTTGCCAGATGCTAAATTTTTTATTTGCCTAATTTCCCAAAAACACCGATTTAACTTCCGACTTCCGTTATTTTGTTTATCTAAAATATACTTTTATGAAAGCGGATGAAGGAGAAATGTTACGTTTTATAGTGTTTGAAGCTGGACTTTCAAAGCGAGGTGGGAGGTCTCATTTTTCTCAGGGCGTTCTTTTAAAAAAAAATTACCACATCTGCATTTTTTAAAAAGACTTGCAAGGCCCATTTGTTTATTCTTAATGTACAAATCAGAGTTTTGAACTGTTCGGCATGTTGGTTGGTTGTGTGTACAAAATACAACTAGTCAACTGGTCATGTGTACAAAGTAAATATATATATATATATATATATATATATATATATATATATATATATATATATATATATATATATATATATATATATATATATATATGGGGAGGTAGGAAAATTTATATACCGACTCTGTTTATATTGGCGCGTGAGAATCAGTAGCTCGCTTCTTGTACTTATAAAGTGGCCTTACTTTATTTTGGGTATCAAAACAAGTCCATTTACTAACGGTAATGTAATAGAATACTTGACACGATGTATGTAAAACTCGTTTAGAACACAGATTAAGTTGTCTAAAAAGATTTTATCAATCCCCACCTACACATGGTATCTATTGCCGCGTTTCATACCTGGATCGGAAAAACCCGTAGCTCAATGTTTACAAATGGGAACATGTTTTCCCAAGCGCCCCAGCAGTCTGACCGTGTTTTAAATATTAATCGTACGCATCCCATCCAAGCAAATCAAACAAACGGTATTCGTATAGAAGCCACCTGTGATGGGGAGGTGTTTTTGGTGGTTGAGGTGATGGTCTAGCTATTGATGGTCTCAGGTGGGTTAGGTTTAAAGGTACAGTCAATAGAGACCGTAGAAAGACTATAGCCCCAATGGAGATATCCGGGTTCAGGTGTATTTGTTTGAGCAATACCAATACCTTCATATTTTTCATCTAATGAATTGAAACAGTGGTTCTTAATCTTTTTGGAGGTACCTAACCCCATCGGTTTTACATGCGCATACACCGAACCCTTCGTTAATCGTGCTACCGTCCGCACTGTCAAAATGTAATCGTGAATCATGGCGTGTGTCTTGAACTCCGCCGAAGACCTTAGAAAATATATATACTATACCAATTGTCCCCTCCCCGGAAGTTTCCATTGACCCCCACTACCTGGGAGAAAAATGTCTGAAAGAAACAATAGACTTGAGTCCGCAAGAGTAGAATCCCACTAAAATACATTAAAATTTCGTTGAAAGTTGGAGAAAACACATTGTCTGAACTGGCTTTATATCTTTTAAAACAGGGGTCTCCAAACTGCGGCCCGCGAGGTCCTCTCATCCGGCCCGCGGAGATCTATTTGTCCAAGGAAAAATCGTTTCTTGGTAATGGCTGAGGAACTTTGCCCAGAAAAATCAGAGACATGCCCGGAAGAAACTGGCCCCCGAACTGAAATTTGATAGTTAATGCGGCCCTCGGACTGAAAAGTTTGGAGACCCCTGTTTTAGAAGAAAAAAAAACTAGTCACCTAATGTCATTATCTAGACAAACTAAACGTATAAAATAAGGGAACCTTTCTGATCTTTGTTTACCTGTTCTCGCTATGTCTTGTATGTTAAGCTATCCAAACTAAATATGTCATCTCACATGTATTGTGTGTTGTTGTTGTTGTTGTTTTTTACCAAAAACCCCCTCATGTTTCTCACAAAAGTAAGTGTATTACAGTATTTCTTATTGTTCAAACTTGCTACAGCGGTTCAATATAAATCAGAACAAAAGCCCATCGGAGAACAAAGAGCCTTTTTTTATTGAATTCAAGCTAAGCCGAAAGCTAATCTAGCAAGTATTGTATCATAAATTCTAAGACTTCTATATCTAGACTCGCGCACAATAGAACAAATCTAAAATAGCCTCTCAAGAAAACGAACGATAGTATTAGAAACTAGATAAATGGCCCGTTGAGGAAGGGTACAACGGGCGCTAGGCTGATAGTGCTGTCTCTTTTCTCTAAACTAAAACCAACCCACCCCCCACACACCACCCCCACCCCACCCCCCACCCCCACACACCACCCCCACCCCCCACCACACACCACCCCCACCCCAACCCCTCACCCCCACACATCACCCCCTCCACACACCGCCCCCCCACCCCCCACCCCCCCCCCCCCCCAAAAAAAACATGTCTACCGTCCCATTCAACGAAATATAATTATATACTTTTTCCAGTGTCCGCCCCCTCCCAGAATATTCTACCCCCGCCCCCGAAAATGGCCCGTTGAGGAAGGATACACCGGGCGCTAGGTTGATAGTGCTGTCTCTTTTCTCTAAACTAAAACCAACCCACCCCCCCCCCCCCACACACACACCACCCCCCACCCCCGGACCCCACACCCACCCCACACACCACCCCCCCCCCCACCCCCACCCCACCCCCACCCCACCCCACCCCACCCCCACCCCCCAAAAAAACATGTCTACCGTCCCATTCAACGAAATATAATTATATACTTTTTCCAGTGTCCGCCCCCTCCCAGAAAATTCTACCCCCGCCCCCGAAAATTTCATGTATCCCCACCCCTCTCCGGAGAGGAAAAAGTCTGAAAGAAACACTGGTCGCATTTGTAGATCATACAAACTAAAGGAAGAATCTGGGCGGGGCTTCGCCCCTACCGGAAGAGATGCTTGAAAAAAACAACTGCACGCTAAACACTTTTTAGATTAGAAAAAGTTCCCCCCTCCGGGGAGGAATAAGTCTGAAAGAAACACTGGTGTCGCGCTTAGCCACTACCCGAAGAATTGCATTAAAGAAATTGCAAGAAAACTACTTTTTAGATTAGACACATTAATTAGGCGGTAATTTTATTATAGAGTATTGATGAAGAAATTTCTTTTGAGTTGGGGAGGGGGGGGGCTCAGACGTTCTTACGCGGGGGTGGGGCTTCGCCCCTACCCGAAGAATTGTATGAAAGAAACTCTTCACGCAAACCATTTAGATTAGACAACATTTCCTTTTTATTCAATGTTAGCGCGAAAATCAATGACGTCATATCAATGTGTGCACTATCCGGCTTGAGATTATTTTCTACTCTGTGCGCTAAATGTGTCGACGTCATACTTCGTTTTTCGAATTACTATGCATGTTTTTATTTTCCTTGTGTTTTCTCTAGAGCGTTCTTGTCAGACAGATAGATAGATAGATAGATAGATAGATAGATAGATAGATAGATAGATAGATAGATAGATAGATAGATAGATAGATAGATAGATAGATAGATAGATAGATAGATAGATAGATAGATAGATAGATAGATAGATAGATAGATAGATAGATAGATAGATAGATAGATAGATAGATAGATAGATAGATAGATAGATAGATAGATAGATAGATAGATAGATAGATAGATAGATAGATAGATAGATAGATAGATAGATAGATAGATAGATAGATAGATAGATAGATAGATAGATAGATAGATAGATAGATAGATAGATAGATAGATAGATAGATAGATAGATAGATAGATAGATAGATATATAGATAGATAGATAGATAGACAGACAGCGAAACTATTATTATAGATTTTACAGTTAATAAGGTGCGTTTCCTGATGAACTTGGTCGGCCTATATCTATAAAGCAGTGCATTTCGATGAAGAAGTAAATAAATCATCAGCAGACACAAAGATTAAATTAATTAGGTTAAAACTTGCACTTAGTGGCCATACACTTGAGAGGGCAGATGAGATTGTTTACACAGCTGTTGCTAATGGTTTTAATTCTAGTCACAAGTGTTGATCGTGTTCGTGTTATTCGTTTATCTTGCCTTCATAGTTACCCAGCAGTATAAAATTAAAGACACTTGCAGCCTTTCTTTCGCGTCATGTTTAAAAGATTGTTAATTAACCTGTTGTTTCTTTATCGGTCTTGAAGATTTTGTGTCTAGCCACACAACTTTTATATAAGCAAATATCGCTGTATATAGTTCTAGTCTTGGCATAGACAAAATGCCACCCATGCCATCGTTCATGTTGATCTGACGATGATTAAAGCGGTCTTGGTATATTATAATTATCATCACTTAATTTTTTGGATTTATTTTAAAACTATAACCACCTCTAAGACTGGGGAGTAGGCAGAGGCGTAGCGACCCTTCCCGGGGACAAACTTTCAATTTGGCGCCCCCCCCCCCCCTCGGGAACGGCCTTTTAATTTTCACCCCCCCCCCCTCCAAACTTTCAATTTGTTTTTCCAACCCATTTTGGCGCCCCCTAAGGTCGGCGCCCGGGAACATATGTACCCCCCCCCCCCGCCCCCCCCCCCCCCTACGCCTCTGTGAGTAGGTCTTCTAGACGTTCATTACACAACAAGGAAGCTTAGATGTTATTGTGAAGCCTAACATGTTCATAGGTGACGCCGGCACCTGTAACCCCCCCCCCCACCCCCACCCCTCAGTCAGCACGCGCTTTGTGTTACACTCGTTTGTCTAGAAGATAAAGGGTCAAGGCCGTGAGTTCTAGAAGATATACGGTCCATGCCGCATAGGGCATAGGCTGATAGTAAAAAAAAAAAACTCACGATAAGGGACGCAACACTTTACGTAAGAGAACACAGCAGGGGAAGCAACGCTGGTTGTAAATACAGTATCAACTTAAAACCAGGAAGTAGAGTTAATGTCCCTGTTATCCGACAGTTTCTGTGGCTATATCTTAGACTAGGTAAAACTAAAACATTATACGAAGGGATGCATTTTTGTTGTTTGACAGAACAGATTTACATTCGAGGATGAAGTTTGTTTTAACCAGGGGGATTTAAAGTCTGTTCATTAAATAAATATCTGAGAAGCGTGTGATTGTCCAATTTTTGAAAGATCTATTCTCTAAGAAGCGTGGTTTTTTTAGATGATTTAAACTTGAGTTTTATCTTACAATACCTCGATTCAACAATGGCAAAGAGAACCAATAAAGTTGGCATTGTTGGAACGTATGGCACCAGGTTTGGTGCCTTTCTCAGAAAAACTGTCAAGAAAATGGAGATAACTCAGCACATACACATGTCCCTTTTGTGGAAAGGAATCCATGAAGAGAAAAGCAGTTGGCATTTGGAAGTGCAGCAGATGCTCTAAAACGGTTGCAGGGGGTGCTTGGGTTTATTCAACTCAGAGGCGTAGCGACCCTTCCCGGCGCCCGGGGACATACTTTCAATTTGGCGCCCCCCTCGGGAGCAAATTTTCGATTTGCACCCCCCCTTCAAACTTTCGATTTGCACCCACCCCCTCGAACTTTTCATTTGCACCCCCCCCCCCCTCAAATTTTCGATTTGCACCCCCCCCCCCCTCGAACTTTTCATTTGCACCCCCACTCAAACTTTCAATTTGGCGCCCCCCCCCCTAAGGTCGGCGCCCGGGGACGTATGTCCCCCCCCCCCCTCGCTACGCCTCTGATTCAACTACAGCTGCAGCTCAAGTACGCAGTGCTATTCCTCGTCTTAGAGAAATGAAAGAAATCTAAATAAATTTTGTAAAGCACTTTAAAAAAAAAATTAACTTGAGTAGGCCTACATATTAGAGCAAACCGAGTTATGAAAATTTTCCCATAATGGGTAAGTGCATGTTTTGTGAACGTTATTAAAGTACCCTCGGAGACGACCATGTTTCAACAGGGATAAACTACATTCTAAATACAGGTTGCTGTTTTTTTTTTCAATAGATCCAAGCTTTACCACATGTATAAAAGCATCCATAAACTTAAAAACGTGCGATAAGTAAGGGACAAAAATATGTGTTTTCAATCAAAAAGGTCCAAAGTGTATTGCTGTATGCATAACTATAAAGGGATCCGTTACAAATATCTCGGAGTTATGTCCCTGTATGTGTTGAGTAACCCAAGTCCCCAGAAGAACTAGATCATGGACTACAAAATGTTTCTGGACATTTCATTTTCTTACATCAGAAATTGCACGTGTTGATGACAAAAAAAAAACATTCAAAAGCAATGACCTTGAAATAAATATTTTTTTTGAGGCTATAATTCTACTCTAGTCACATAAACCTCTCCGACTTGTATTACAAACTTTGATTAGGTCAACCACTATTTTTTATTTTATTTTTTGTGTATCCTATACTCTACTCGCCATGTGAATTTTGATTCGGGACATTTGAAAGAATTAAAATTTACCCAACGCTATTCCATGCAGTAAAAAAAAAAACTAAATTAAAACGCTATAACTGGTCATTTACTATGTTATATACAGTTAAACATCAGAACTTCTGTCTTTATTTTTATTATTGTAACGATGTGCCGTAGAAATATATAAGGCTTAGGCTCGTATTTTTTCGAAAAGTTTTTAAAAAGTTTTAATTAAAAATTTCATGAAATCCTTAGTAAAGTAAATTTAAAAAATCACAATTAAGTTTGTACAACAACCTAGCATTTTTACACAACTGCAGAATATTTTTTAATTATTTAATCCTCACGTCTAGATTATTCTCATCGATGTCATTGGTGCTTGAAGCCATTAGAACGGATGATAAGCTCATTTGTTTTATTACAATTATCTCAGAAAATGTTTGAATTATTACATGTCTCTGATCCGTGTCTAATTGCGTCACCATACAGCAATATGTACACACCACATCACGTTAGAGTCTGATGTTGCTCTTAGGTCACTATAAAGTGAGAGTCCTACAGCCTAGTCGACGGGTTGTGTGTTGGTGTGTATGCGAGTGTGTGTATGTGAAAACAATACCCTCCCACCCCACCACCCCCCCCCCCCCCCACACACACACACACTCACACTACATGCCCCAACTCCCCTACACATGTGTACATGTTTGTACACTGTAAACGTGTACGATCTCCCCCGCCCCGCTCCCATTGCCACATGCAACAAGTACACATCTGTGCTCGCGTGGTATCACGTGACAGGCATAGTATCACGTGACTATAATAACCATGTGCGGCATGCAAGTGGGGCTGTGTTGTTGTTTTCCTTGAATTGTTGACACAGAAATTTGTTTCTTTCGTTTATATTTCCCTTACATCTCAAAACAATCAATTTAACAACCCCCTATTATATGATATGGTCTTAATACATTTAAGGGCTGCGGTAAGACACAGAGTTGGGTTTTATATAACAAATAATGTATAAGTTACGGCAAACAACGTCTGGGGATTATTTCGGTTATTTTGTAACAAAAATGCAACACAAATGTTTGTTTTGGTTCTTAAACATAAGAGGATACGGGGGACGGGAATGTTGATGTTTGAGCATAGTTAATAATTCAAAATATAATTGGCGAAAAAGGAAATAATGTGTAAGGCCTTGACGTAACCTGGTTAGAAACGTAACGCAGCAAGTAATAAAAATGGTCCAACGAAAAATAGACCTTATTAGATATAAACGAGGAATATCATACAAATAAAATAAATTAAAACAAAAATCTCGACGAACTTAAGTGCAAAACTTATAAAATAAGGCGATGATTAAGTCAAAAGGTTATTTTAACATGTATTCACAATTCAAGAATTGACCATCGCATATTTATTTTAACTGCGTTTGCTGACTAGCTGCATAGTTCAAGGTTATACACCCCCAGGCTTTTGCCTAGATTAGCCAGGTTTTCTTGCAGTGGCGGGTCATATCGTAAACAAGAGGCACCAAATCTCTGGCCTCAGGGGACTGATTTAGTGGGTCGTGTCATGGCACCCACAGGTTGCTTACATCTAAACGCCTGCTCGGTCAAACGACATGTTAAGTAGTTATGGCTTTAAAATAACTGTTTAAAATTTACGGCGTGTTATTTAGTTAAATAGTCATGGCTTTAAAATAACCGCTTAACATTTATGATATATTAAATAGTTATGGCTTTAAAATAACTGTTTAAAATTTACATGTTAAATAGTTGATTAGTTGTGGTTTAAGAATAACAGTTTGAAATTTACGACATGTTAAATAGTTATGGCTTTAAAATAACAGTTTAAAATGTAACTTAAAATTACGTCGTAAGTAAATATGGCTTAAACTAAATTATTATTGCTTTAAAATGCAAAACTGAAACTATGGCTTTAAAGTATCTGTTAAGTAATTACGGCTCAAAACTGAATGTTGAATAATTGTGGCTAAGAGTTATATAAAAAAAAAGATAAAAATTACTTTACAGTGACTAAAACCTTAGTTTAAAACTAATACTTACAGCTACAAGATGATGAAGTATTGGTTAAAGGTTAAAATGACTAGTTAAATGGTATGATTGAAAACAACGTGATAGTTAACTAAAGCTTAAAACTATAGTAGAAGTCCATAGTAAATATCATTGTGTATTGGAATTATGTTTGTCTATTCTTGACGCAAAATGTGGGACAATGCGGTCATTCATTGATAATAGTTGACGAAATAAACAAAGTAAATTATTGATTTTTACTTTCTTGTATACGAAGTATAGAGGCAGTATATTGTAATCGTGCGAAAAATCGAAATTTTGTCATATCTCGACGTTTTACACCTCCCTGAGTCGGAAAAACTTAGTTTTGCATGTCTGTGTGTGTTTGTATCTGTGTGTGTGTGTGTCTGTGTGTATGTCTGAGTGGGCGTGTATTTGTATCTGTAAGTCTGTCAGTGTGTGTGTGTCTGTGTGTGTGTCTGTCTGTGTCTCTGTGTGTGTGTGTGCGTGCGTGTGTGTGGGGGGGGGGGGTGATCTTACGCTACATTTGGGGGACGGGGGGGGGTGGCTGTTACTTGACACAGGACTATTACAAAGTCATTTGTTAAACGGGAAGTATTTTTTAACGATATTTGAGTTGAGAAAATACGATAAGGTGTACAGGAAACGTCCGTTCTGGAACAAAAAAATGTAACGGATAAAATGTTGTGCCGTCCATTAAAAAAAAAATTCTTGACAGATAAAATGCTATGCCATATTTTCTAACGCTTTAAAAAAAATATTAAATGAAAAATGCGCCGTTAATTATATTGCTAAAAATTGTAACTGAAATATGTTTTTCCGTCCATTTCTGGCGATAAAGATTGTAACTTAAATATGTTTTGCAGTCAATTATAAATCGCTACAAATGTTTACTGAAATATGTTTTACCAACCATTCTATCGCTAAAAACTGTATGTTTTGCCGTCCAGACGCGCTAAAAATTGTAACTGAAATATGTTTTGCCGTCCAGACGCGCTAAAAATTGTAACTGAAATATGTTTTGCCGTCCATTAATGAGAATCTATCGCTAAAAATTGTAACTGAAATATGTTTTGCCGTCCAGACTAGCGCTAAAAATATCTTCCCTGGCAAAAAATAGTTTCCTACACAAGACCCAGATTCCCAGATAAAGGGCTGACGATGCGTAAATTGGACGGTTGTGTGGAATTGGAAGTCATACTCCCCTTTACCGGCAACTCAATAACCGGTGACTTCCGGTTTTATATTGGTTACAGCGGACATGTTTAGTGCGCATGTCTCGGTGTCCTACAGATGGACAGGTGAAAAGAGAAATATGACGTCATCCGGTGCTATAAATAGAAAAAAAAACGACGAGTATACTTTGACCTTAATTTAATAACTAAAAGACTATGGTGTATGTGTAGTAGTGTGGAGAGTCAGTGGATAAAACTTATGTCGTGTATTATCATTATAGGGAGATCTGCAAAACATAAGTAGGAATATATCCAAAAGGCGAAATCGCATGACGAAATCTTAAAAGTTAAGTCAAGTTTTCTTTTTGAACCTGTCGATCTATGGGGCAGGTAAAGTAGAGTTCAACTGATTCGGTGACCTCGGCATTTGAAGGGATAGTGTGGTCAGCGTTATGCATAGGAGCTGGGTTGACTCTACTAGACACGCTCTACTGACTAAAAACCCAAATTCGAACTCGAGACTTTTAGGGTAGCTAGACCACCCCGTATCGAAGCGAATGTTAGGTCTCTAAAAATAGTATCAGCACCGGTGGGGAGGGTAGTGTGAGATGGCATTGAAGGGGGGGGGAATATGGCACAACATAACAACCAACACTCATTTATTAATATATTTAAGAAATCGTAAATAAAAGAAAAATTATTGCACTTCTCTGCTACTAATAATAACACAAATCCAACGAAACAATAAACATTGAGTGATACAAACACTTTTAGCCTTAAAGAATTATAAGCATCTAGTTAAAGGTAAAAAAAAAAGGGGGGGGCAAGCATTGAGTACACCGACGCGTGCATGATAATAAGCGTGTTACGTAACAAATTTGTAGCTGACCTGCTTGTCAAAGATTGAGTTACATCACAAGTTTGTACCTGACCCTGCTAGTCAAAGATTGGAACCTGCGTGCCAGAGTTATTTCCCCTCGGCGGAAATCTTTCCCGGCAGGAAGCGGGAATTGAACACAGGTGTATCGGCTCACATCAAGGGCGACTACCACCAACGCCCCGAGGCCACCCCTTACCTTCATGCGAACAAATACTCGCCAGGGAGATAACTGGCGATCGGGTTACAGCTCAAGTGTTTATTGTTTTTTTTAATGGGGAAATGTGTTTATACCCCTCATGTTAGGTCAAGTTTTGTTGGGGTCAGTGTGGTAGTTTCTACTTGGGGGTTTACAGAGTTTACTTTTAAACACTGCAGTGGGAGAGCGTAACAACTGTAGGTTATCTCCCATTTGGATCTCCATTAGAACAAAATGTATTATATAGATCGGCTTCTTTAATACTAGGCATGCTTCCCAGCTTCGCTTAGGCTTTCGAAAACATTGAGAATTTGAATGCTTAATTAATTCACCCATATAAGGCGCCGGTCAGTCGAGGTCAGTTTTGACCCCCTCATCGTTGACTTTTCGGCCAACCGGCCCCCGTGTTCTGTCGCCCCAAGGCAAGATTCTGCCAAATTTGAAGCGCCTGCGGCGCCGGGAAGTGCCCTATCGGGCACCCGCCAACTTAGCTTTATAGATCATCTAGATCTGGATCTAGAATCTCTAGATCTAGATGATCTAGAACATCTAGATCTAGATCAATATCTAGATCTAGAATCTCTAGATCTAGAATCCAAATAGATAAAATCGTATTGTATACATTTTATAGCGTACATAGCTCTAAATCATATTTGAATGAAATAGTTCATTTTTTAAAATTCTAAACTCGGAAGATGACGTCATCAGTTTCGTGCTCTTGTTTTAGTGTTTTAGTGTAAACATTAAGCGACGTCATTGTTAATTGCGTTCTTGTCCCAAGTTTATACACTTTTCCGAGAGAGAGAGAGAGATGTGCGAACGTGGGGTTTTATATATTAGGATTACGTTCATTCAAAATGTTAAAAAGAATTTATTCAGTTGATATAAAAATGTCAAGGGATAAAGTAAAAAATAAAGCGGATTGGAATTCAAGATTTCTTACAATATATATATATATATATGTATATATATATATATATATATATATATATATATATATATATATATATATATATATGAGTGCGTGAGTGTGTTTCTGTGTATGTGCGCGTATGTATAATATATGGGCGCCAGTGTAAATTATAATTATTTATATATATATATATATATATATATATATATATATATATATATATATATATATATATATATATATACTGCTTAAAGACCCTCTATTCCCAGCAAGCCCTAGTTTAGCCCCCATTATCCAACAAGCGACACACTGTCTGAGTGATGTATGTCTTTAGAGTTTAGCCGGCCAGTTTTTCACCAAACTGACATGTAAACGTAGAACGTTACGCTAGGCGCCACGTTAGCTCTCAACTTGTAAGCATTTTTTTACTCCTTTGGGCATCGTTTGTCCTTAATCCAGAGCTCTTAGTCCCACGTATTTGGCCAAAGTACCTGACTTAAATATCTTAATCTTTTTTTTAATCTGCTAATCTGCTGTTAAAGACTAGTCGTTAACTATTACCATTAAACATAAGAGCGTGAGTAGCAAGTCATAAGTCATGTACCCATTGGCCTGCTTTATGTATATATATATATATATATATATATATATATATATATATATATATATATATATATATGTGTGTGTGTGTGTGTGTGTGTGTGTGTGTGTGAGGGGGTGTGTGTGCATGCGTGTGTGCGCGCGTTTAGTGTCTTTTAAGGGGTCAAGTGTCAAGGGGTCTATGGCGGGATTCTATGAATACAACTCCCCCACCCACCCAGAGTTTCTTCCAGTCATCTCTTCGGGCCGTTTGCCCCCCCCCCCCCCCCCCGAACGAAATTAAAATTATATAATTTATATAGAAAATATATACTTTTAACAGTGTCCGCTCCCCCCCCCCCAAGAACGTCTACCGCCCCCCGAAAATTTCAAGTGCCCCCCCCCCCCCCCGGAGAAAAAAGTCTGGAAGAAACACTGCACCCACCCCCACACACACACACGACCAATACACACGTCTTGTCTAAGGTTATGTCAGTCATAGACCATAAAAATTCAATTTTTTTTTTCCATTCGTTAAAGTATACTTATCAAAGACTACAAAACATTAGCCATGAACAAACATCAACCACAAATCATTCATCATACAACAATAGCCACTGAAGTCCTTAGCCAAGTGTTACATTACAATAACCTCGAGCTTAATTAGCTCTAAACTTTTTATTTTTAATAAAGCACAGACCACTTTTAATAAAGAGCCACAGATAATCATTTGTAACCCCAAGTGACGGAGAAAGGTTGGCCAGATCAAGCCATTATCTATGTTGCCAAGTGGAATTTTTTTTACCTTCTCCTAAATAAAACGCTTGTACGGTGTTTACAGCGGATGCAAACAAGGCTCTAGTATTCCAAAACAACCCAGCGACGAATTAAGTGGCTTGCCAGTTAAGCCCAGGTTGTTTAGATACGTGAGAAATCTGGCAACATTTTCAATTTTAGCTGATGTCTTCTAATTTGTTAAACTTACAATGCGTTTATGTGTTGTTTATTCAAATTTTCATTCGTTTTTCTTTTAAGTTTTTACAGAAGTAAATTATGAATTTTGTACAGCAAGCGGAAATATAAGACAGACTTCTTTTTTTTTTACAGGAAACAGACGATAAATCTAAACTACAACGATGTTGTTTTATGGCTTCCTAAATGATGTAAAAATAGCCTTGGTGGTTTTAAAATTGGAGGTTTTGAATGACACGAAAGAAATAATGTTTTGTTTTCTTTTATAACACAATCGTCGTCTTTTGATTACGGGGAGGTTTTGAATATATTTTTTAATTTTTTTAAAACAAAGGGGGCTATTGTAATCGGACAAGATAAACACACGAGTTAGCTTCGGGTTTTAAAGTTGTGTTGTTGTTTTACCTGAGTCAGCCAATCGTGTAAGGGAGGGGTCCCTGTCTGGTGAGACTGTGTAGTGTTAGGTCCTGGAAGGTTCTCAAAATATCTAGGGACGGGGTAGGGCTCAAGCCCTGGGGGTTGAGACGGTCCTGCTGATAAGGTAGGAGTGCCCGCTCCTGCAGGGTTCGAGGTGTCCGAGTTTCTCGTGTCGGGGTCAGGATGGTGTGGGTGGGCAGCGCCGATGTGAGAACCGTCACCGCCCGTGATTCTAGTAGAACTCTCTATGTTGTGAAGCCCGGAGTTGTTTAATCCAAGGTCAGGGTAGGAGGAGTTACGATGGCTAATGCGCGTGACGTCACTAATGACCTGATTGTCCCGTGTGACGTAGGGAGCCTCGTTGTCACCTAATGACCTTTGGTCGTCCAGCAATCTCTCCTCGTCACGGTTGAGCTGCTTGGGTAGGAAATACGAAAAAAAAATGTTTTACTTTTTTTAATTATATTATTTTCATTACATTTGACGAATATTTTTGGATAAACCCAGCCAAAAAGATAACCCCCGCCATCGAAAAAAAAATTATTTAAAAAGTGGATATAAAATTTATAATTTAGATTTTATTGAAAAGGGTGCAATTGAGAAATGCCATTTATAATTTGCATTTTTAAAAAATTCTGTATTTTGGTGTCTTTACCCCTAACCCCAACCCTACCACTGTTAATGAGTTGTTGTTTATGTTCGTTTAAATATTCAAATGTCTAGACACCAGTAATAGATCACAAGTGGCGGGGCTTAACTTTTTGCCCATGCAGTTGTTGTATTAGTGGCGGGGCTTAACTTTCTGCCCATCCACTTGTTGCATTAGCGGCGGGGCTTAACTTTCTGCCCATCCACTTTTTGCATTAGTGGCGGGGCTTATCTGGACAAGATCCCATTTGATGTAATGTTTATCTTTCAAACATAAACATCAAATGACTTGGTTTTCATAAATAGCATGAGATTAAATCCCTGTTAATATCTCTTAGTTTCTCAAAAACAAAACTACTTCACAGAAAAAGATGCTTCGGTAGCTCAGTCGTTAATATAATACGTTCACTTTTTTCTATTTTATTTTTTTATGTTGATGAATATTAATTAGTAAGCTTTCATTATTTTTTTAAAAATTAAAAATGGAAGATAAATTACCATTCGTCATTAGCCTAAAACAAAGTCATTATCATAAAAAGCCAAACATTTTTTTAGGCCAGAGACCTACGACCTTGTAAAAATCTGCTACAAGGAAATAGCCACTAATATACTATTGGTGATATCCGGCTGTTGTTTTTTTTAATGATTGTATGGACATATAAGGAAACAAAAATAAAGATTGCTTGTGCTTTATAATCAAATAATCAAAAATTTCACATTGATCAACAAAGATTGTTTCAATTAGCAAGGAAACATGGGCGTATTTTAAAAATTATATTCAACACTGGCAGCTATTTTAGGAACAAAAATTAGCACTGGCTTTCCGAATGTAATTGCTATTTTTAAAAAGCCATAATTTGTTTCATATTCTCTGTGAATGTTTTTAATTCAGCATTTTTTTAAATTTGAACTGAGCCTTGTAAGAGAAGCACGAAGGGGTGGGGAGGGCGGGAGAGGGATTAAAATCTGAGAAGGTACGGCTAAACACAACACCATGCTCGCGAGAAGTGCGTCTTTGTTCTGCTTTCTCGAGGAAAGCCACGGGCAGCTTAATTGCTGGCTAATGGAAAATTACTTGCAGTGGGAGGTCATGTTCCCATGACGTCATAGCCACGCCTACCTTACAAGGGAGATAAACCTCATATTGTGTTGCCCCCACCCCCCAAACAAAATTTCCCCCTTTTCTTTCACCTACACCTCACAATTCTACTGGGCTTTAACAAACCTGGTGTATTTGTTATACCAGTGTCCGATACTGGCACAATAATAGAATATTCTTTAAAAGGGGTGTTAGGTTACTGGTAGTTAACTAAATGCTGATTTGACTTGCTAATGTCAATGCTAACAATATCCCTAACCCTGTCGCCAACCCTAGTCCTACCATACGCTTAACCCTATCCCTAACCCCAACCCTAGTCCTACCATACGCTTAACCCTATCCCTAACCCCAACCCTAGTCCTACCATACGCCTAACCCTGTCGCCAACCCTAGTCCTACCATACGCTTAACCCTATCCCTAACCCCAACCCTAGTCCTACCATAAGCATAACCCTAATTTCTGACAATAAAACAATAAAACTAGACATAAGACCATAAGACTACTAACAACAACTAACTACAATTTTCGATAGAGTCTATTATAAAAAAATCGGTACACTCAAGACTCAATTTACTACAAAAAGATGTTATATTCTTTAGCAGAAAGAGCAAAACTAAAAAGAATGATAAAAACAAATTACCTCTTTGACTTCCGGTTTCGATGCAAACCAGGACAACCTGTCACCTAGGTGAAGCGAGACGAGCGTGGAAACGGTTGCTATGACAACCAGTAGCCAGACGCCGTCTCTGCGGGCTCGCCACCGGCCACACTGGGGAAACATGCCTCATTCCAGTAGAGCCTGGGGACACACAGACACAGTGGTGTTAACTCTATGGGACACACGGACACATTGGTGTTAACTTTATGGGACACACGGACACAGTGGTGTTAACATAACTCTATGGGACACACGGACACAGTGGTGTTAACTCTATGGGACACACGGACACAGTGGTGTTAACATAACTCTATGGGACACACGGACACAGTGGTGTTAACATAACTCTATGGACACACGGACACAGTGGTGTTAACTCTATGGGACACACGGACACAGTGGTGTTAACATAACTCTATGGGACACACGGACACAGTGGTGTTAACATAACTCTATGGACACACGGACACAGTGGTGGTAACTCTATGGGACACACGGACACAGTGGTGGTAACATAGTGATAGGAGACACACGGACACAGTGGGGAAACATGCCTCATTCCAGTAGAGCCTGGGGACACACGGACACAGTGGTGGTAACAAAAAAATATTGGAGACACACGAACACATTGGTGTTAACATAGCTGTATGGGACACAGACACAGTTTTGTTAACAAAGCAATAGAAGACTCAGGCACAATGGTGTTAATAAAAAAATATTCGAGACACACGGACACATTAGTATTTCACTAGAGACACAAGGACACAATGGTGTCAACAAAAGTCTAGGAGACACACAGACGTATTCAACATAAATCAACCGACACATACATTCGTTTTACGGATGCTCCAACGTATGTCCAGCATATGTGCATCTCCTACCCTCACACATACACACGCTGGCATTAGTAAAAGTATAAACCGTTGTGTCCTAAAAAAAAAAAAAAAAAACTACGAACTCTTACCCCCACTGTCCCTGTTCTGTCACATAGGTAACCTAACACGATTTATTCTCAAATAGATCTAGAATCTATGTTATATTTTCAACGTATATATTGTTAAGAAAAGTGCGTTGTTGTTGTATTTTTTTTTTTACAAAAACGTAGATAAAAGAGATTATTAAAACTAAAATAGCTCGAAATACAAAGATAAGGATGCCAGCTCTCTGCTCACGGCGTCCTACGCGTGTCGAGTGAGCAGTGCGTCCTATACATCCGGGCATCTTTAGTTGTTTTTTTTTTAATCGTTAAAGCGTTTCTACTATAAACAGAGTTGAAGCCTTTGTTCTGTAAAACAGAGTTTAAGCGTGTGTTCTCTAAAACAGAGTTTAAGCGTGTGTTTTGTAAAACAGAGTTTAACACGTTTATGTTGTAATGGTGTTTGCTCTGCTAGGCATCAAAGCTCTTAGTTTTTATTTAGAACGTCTTAATGGCGTGCACTGACAAGCTTCATTGGGCTAAATTAACGCATATATTTGTAGCACGTATCCGATAAAAATGAATGGACGTCTTAAGACTTGACGGTCCACTGGGCAGATGAAGTAGAGTTTACCTGTTCGATAAACTCGAAAGTGCACGTTATTCATTCCCCCCCCCCCCCAACTTTTGAAGGGTACCAGATAGAGCTGAGTTTGCTCATTAATGTTAACCGAATAGACGGCATTCGCGTTTACTGTCATCTGTTCCACCCCTCGACCGACGCGCAGAAAAAAATCTCGCCTGTTGTTTAATTAACACATGTGTTTGATTGTGTTTAGCATCACCTGATTACTTTCTACCCTAAGTACCTGCACCCCCCACCGTCACCCCCACCACCTGTTGCTAATTAGTTGATGGTCCGTTGCTTATTCATGACTTACGAAGTCATTAATCTATATAGTACATAGCTTGGTCAAGTAGGGTCTAAAAGACAACAGCAACAAAATCTAACAATAAAAAAGGTGTGGCCTAAATGACACCACAAACAACAAAATATAGAAAACATAATTTTATATAGACTAAATGACAACAACTACAGAAATAAACACTACAAAGCTGTGTTGTTGTGGGTTTTTTTAACAATAGTTAAAAGTTAAATTTAAAAACACGCTAAAACAAATGTTCTTATGTTAGTTTTTATATAGGGGTCTTAAAACATAATTAACCCTAAGGTCAGGAAAAATAATTTTAAAAAAATATTCAACAAAACTTACTGTGTTATAAAAAAAAAAGGAAAAACCGATTGAAATCACTACCAAGAATGAATGAAATATGCGCACCGAAAATACTCCAAAGTAAACTAAAAACCACGGTCGAGCCGACAAATTCCTGCATTAGATTTTATTTCCCCTCGACGGTAAACAGACACCGTGCAAATAGAATCCGTGTCAGTGCGTACTACGTCACGGCTCGCGCCGTCTCGTGGTCCATGAGCCCACTCCGCCATTTTTAGCGGGCTTCTCTCCGTGACGCTGGTCGACTGCGCATGACCGTGTACTGCCATCTGAGGACACGCCTACTGAAATCAAAGCGTTCAATTTCAATTTCATTTTCAATGACAAAGTCTGTAACAACTATTTGAAAAAAATTGTTGAGTAATAAAATGTTTTGGTTTTGGTGGTTTAATCGAAATTATTGTGTATTCCCGGTTAACAGGAAAACAAGTTGACTATGTGAAAGCAAATCCTAAACCTAGACTTTGTGTAAGTTAAACTCAATCCTAAACTTTACTTTGTTCCGAAACTCAAAGAACACTAACCCTATTCAATTTCTTAACTCGCTTTAATCCTCCACCTAAAGAATCCGTGAACAATGGACCGTAATTATATCGCCAACCTTACCCTTAGTAACGTCACAACACGGGGGTGGGTGGGTGGTGGTGTGACCTCAGTTACCTCACCAGGTTACATCCAACCCGTGTTTCTTTCAGGCATCTCTTCGGGGGGGGGGGGGGGTAGTACACCCCCCTCCCCTACAGAACGAAATAGGATTCAAAAATATTTACTTCTACCATTGTCCGCCCCCACTTCTCCAAAAAAGATATTTGTCTGCCCCCCCCCCCCATCCACTGGAGAAAAAAGTCTGAAAGAAACACTGCACCCGACCCAGTGACGCCACTGCTTACCCTACCCTAAACAGGACGGCGTGGTCGAATAGTAGAGCGTTCGTCTGCTAACCCGATTGTCTCGAGTTCGAATCCCAGCCTAGAGAAGTAGAACGCCCTTGAGTTGGTCTACCCAACTCTGATGGGTACATGACGCAGAAACTAACGGCGGCTGTTCCTTAACATGCCACCGTCACAGAAACAGGTTACCTCTACTTCACCTGCCCTGTGGGCTGCCAGGTCCGAAATAGAACTTTACTTAGTGACGCCACTGTTGACCCCAAACCAGATTAACCCCAAACTCCGTGGATACGAGCATCATACGACCAACGAGTCAAACCACATAAGCCCTTTACTTTTGTTTCATACCGTGTGGGATAAAGTACTTGTAATAGTCTCCCTTTTAAGTATCAGATTAAGTAGGGAACACTGCGATTATTGCTTGCAATCAGCTAACACCTTGTTCATCTCGTTAAATCTCGTTGACTTAAGACTTCAGTTAAAACTCGTTGACTTAAGACTTCAGTTAAAACTCGTTGACTTAAGACTTCAGTTAAAACTCGTTGACTTAAGACTTCAGTTAAAACTCGTTGACTTAAGGCTTCAGTTAAACCTCGTTGACTTAAGACTTCAGTTAAATCTCGTTGACTTAAGACTTCAGTTAAAACTCGTTGACTTAAGACTTCAGTTAAAACTCGTTGATTTAAGACTTCAGTTAAATCTCGTTGACTTAAGACTTCAGTTAAATCTCGTTGACTTAAGACTTCAGTTAAATCTCGTTGACTTAAGACTTCAGCTTTAGTTGCTCACCCTACACGTGCGCTAGACACACGAGCAGCGAGTTATCACATTAATTAACAAGCTCCATGTTATCCAATTAATTAACTGCAGTTTGTCTGTGTAAATTTGCCAGCTGAAGGCCAGAAAATGTCAAGTTTACCAGACGTACCAGAGCCAGCATTGACTGATAACAAGTCGCCTATGTTCTGCTCAGTGGCGTAGCCAGGATCATCTCAAGGGGGGGGGGGGGGGTTCCAATTTTTTACCCGGGGACAAACTTTCGATTTTCACCCACCCCCCTCCTCAAACTTTCGATTTGCACCCTTCTCAAACTTTCGATTGCACCCCCCCCCCCCCTTCAAACTTTCGATTTGCACCCCCCCCCCTCAAACTTTCGATTTGCACCCCTCCTCATACTTTATATATATATATATATATATATATATATATATATATATATATATATATATATATATATATATATATATATATATATATATATATATATATATATATATATATATATATATACCGAGGGGTCTATGGGGGTGTTATGACCCTTCAACCCCCCCTGCCTACGCCACTGGTACTGCTGCGCTTTTGTTATTTTTTTGTTTCATTCGTCGTAATACATACTTCTTTTCAGGTTGGTGGGTTGCATGTAAAATATGATTCTGTTCGCAGTTTTATTTTTCAAATGTTAAACAGATTACAGTATACATAATGTAATTTGTAGATATTTAAAACATTAAAAAATAACAAAAATACATTTTCTAGTGGTTATATCGGACTTGGTTTGTTGGCGAATGCGTCTTACTGAAATTGAAACAAATATAGAGACACACACTTAATACAGACACTGACAGACAGACACACGTTTGCATGTATTATTTTTTGTTCTTGTAGCGATATAATGATATAAAACATTTTTTTACATGTCGTGATTCTTTATCTGGAAGAATTTCCTTTGTGAAAGTGCTTTTTCCCCTCAAATTAAAATTGATTAGAAACCAAAGATTTATTTTCTGTATTCATCGAGTGTTTGGACGTCCGTCAATGCCACTAGCCGAGATAACGACAGGGGAGCGCATCCATTCCGGGGAGCGAAATGGGAGATAATTCTGCTCACACTTGACGTCATCGCATCCTCTACCCGTCAGCGCCCCCTGGTTTGTTTATATCTGGTTTAACGAGACGTCCCCGACGTCCAGCACGTCGACGCACGTGACGTCATTTGAATAACAAGCCAGGTATGTTTTTTTTTTTAAATGCTCGAATATTGCAAAGGTTATAACCATATCTTATGCAAATTTGGCTACGATTAGTTGAAAATTTGGCAAAACCGCATTACTAAGAGAAAAAAATACATAAAGAGCATTCAACTTTAATATACCCATTACACGAATATGCAATTTTAGATCTTCGCTTGAATACTAAACCCACAACAACGAAAAAAAAAAAAAAAAAAAAAAATACCCATCCAAAATTTTTTTAAAAATTTTATTGATTTTGCATTGCAAATATCTACATGTTTAATTAGCTACAGCTTTTTGTGTTCTTTAAAGATTTTTTTTTAAATACCCATCATGAGATAGTAGAAGTATCTAAATAACATTTAGAATAGATCTTTTTAATATTTTAAAGGGAAGTAAGTTGCTTACGTTGATCGTGTAGCTTATTTTACAAACTGAAAAGCTAAAAATAGAATAAAGGAAATAATGTAGCTGGTTATTTCGAGCATTAAAAAAACAACAACATTGGATTAAAGTTAGGTTATCACCATGACAAAAATAGAGATTGTTCTTAATAACCAAAACAAAGATAGCCGTTGACCATAAACTAAACGAATATTGTTTTTGACTCTAAACAAATTTACTGCTGGTTTTATTAATGTTTCACTACCCCATATGTACAAATGCCTGACATTAAATGTTTTGTAAAAAAATAAAAATTCTATAATGAAAATAGAGAGTACCTAAATATTCTAATAGAATAGCGACAATGTTTATGTTTATGATTATATAATTCATTACCGAGTGTTGCAGAACAACATTTTTATGAGTTTTGAAAATATAACAAAATAATTATTAAAATTTGTGAATGGAGCCGAAGAGCCGCATCTTGACATCAAAAGAACCGCATGCGGCTCGCGAGCCGCAGGTTGCCGACCCCTGAACTATGTTGATTGTATGGAAGTACAAGTCAGATAGAAGTATTACTATTATAAATCTGTATCAGTCCTCATAAGTCGAAGATGAAAACTATATTACTAAAGCGAACATGACAAGCTAAACTAACGCTGTAAATTTCATATCTAAGACAGCACATAAAAGCACTTGACCTGCTGAAGGTCGTATTCCGATGGAAATGTACAGATGACAACTGGTCTCACAATTCTCGCCATATGAAGTCATTGGTGCGTGGCGTTAACTGGACCCTGGAAGACATTCGTGCATAGATTTACGTAAAGCTGGGTAGGTCACACTGCGAGGTGAGTCAGGTGTGGGGCGCGGACATCACCCACCTTATGACGCCATTTACTGGCTGTAGTCCTACACATCTTGCGGGCAAGGTGAGTCAGGTGTGGGGCGTGGACCGGACATCACCCACCTTATGACGCCACTTACTGGCTATAGGCCTACACATCTTGCGGTCAAGGTGAGTCAGGTGTGGGGCGCGGACCGGACATCACCCACCTTATGACGCCACTTACTGGCTGTAGGCCTACACATCTTGCGGGCAAGGTGAGTCAGGTGTGGGGCGCGGACCGGACATCACCCACCTTATGACGCCACTTACTGGCTGTAGGCCTACACATCTTGCGGTCAAGGTGAGTCAGGTGTGGGGCCGGACATCACCCACCTTATGACTCCACTTACTGGCTGTAGGCCTACACATCTTGCGGGCAAGGTGAGTCAGGTGTGGGGCGCGGACCGGACATCACCCACCTTATGACTCCACTTACTGGCTGTAGGCCTACACATCTTGCGGGCAAGGTGAGTCAGGTGTGGGGCGCGGACCGGACATCACCCACTTTATGACTCCACTTACTGGCTGTAGGCCTACACATCTTGCGGGCAAGGTGAGTCAGGTGTGGGGCGCGGACCGGACATCACCCACCTTATGACTCCACTTACTGGCTGTAGGCCTACACATCTTGCGGGCAAGGTGAGTCAGGTGTGGGGCGCGGACCGGACATCACCCACCTTATGACTCCACTTACTGGCTGTAGGCCTACACATCTTGCGGGCAAGGTGAGTCAGGTGTGGGGCGCGGACCGGACATCACCCACCTTATGACTCCACTTACTGGCTGTAGGCCTACACATCTTGCGGTCAAGGTGAGTTAGGTGTGGGGCACGGACCGGACATCACCCACCTTATGACGCCACTTACTGGCTGTAGGCCTACACATCTTGCGGGCAAGGTGAGTCAGGTGTAGGGTGCTGACCGGACATCACCCACCTTATGACGCCACTTACTGGCTGTAGGCCTACACATCTTGC